AAAACAATTCCTCCCCCCCCCCCCATGTTGGAACAAACTGGACCACACGTTAAAATGGTTTTTTGCCTTTCTCCTGCATCACTTTTAGAATTCTGTAATTCTGTGTATGTAGGTTTTTGATTTATTGCTTTTTGTTAGTGAACTCGCTGGATTTGTGTCTCTCTCAACCCAACTATGGAACATGGAGACAGAGAATGGAAGTGGGAAGCAAGGGTATGGAAGATAAATGTAAAAAAAACATGGAGCAAGTGAGGAAGGGAAAATAGCAAAAATAAGAACGATAGATAATAAAGAGAAGAGAGCTGAAATTAAAAAGGTTTGCAGAAGGTGAGTTTAATAAACAGAACGAGGAAAGTCAGAATGGAGATGGAAACTGGAGACTGAATTGTAGGAAGGTTGTTCCAAAAAAAGAAAAAGGGGTAGGATGTGGTGACTGATGATCACATCTAGAATCAGCTTTAGTTTGCACTTGATCATAAGAAGGTAATAAAGCATCCTTTTCCAAATACTGTATACTTACTTTTACACTCAGGAATTCCGGTTTCCCACTGACTATCAATGTTGCATGTGATTGTACTGGATCCCTTCAGAACAAAGTCTTCTTTACACTTAAACGTTATAGCTGAATTCAGTCCATATGGACCAACAAATCCAGACTCTCTTTTTGAATTTGGCACATGAGGATCAGGGCAATTTACAGCTGACAATGGAGGAAAAGAAAACAAGATTAAGAACGGAGGAAGAATATGTTTGACAGTATTTTGCTGCACTATACAGGATAACCAGGTCTTCATATTATCACAAAATCAAAACTGTAATCAAAGGATCACTAATTCTGTATGCAAAACATTATTTTTCACATAGTTATGTCGATAAAAAAAAAAAGAGCAAGGTCACACAGAAGGCGTATTTCCAGCTCTTACAGTAAAGGACCCTTTTTGTAGGTGGAGATTAAAGTAAAAAGCTTGGCTAAATACACATATGTTAATGTAGATAATGCATGTAGACCACATAATTGGCTTCACAGAATGACAAAACAGTAAACATATACAGTATGTATTTCAACTGTATGTTTAGTGGTTTGCTGAGAGTCTCGCTTTTACATGGCAACTTCACTTTTAGTGAAGCCGCCCCTTCAAATATAACCCGGTCTCACTCAGTGGGGCCGCAGAGCCCACTCATACTAGGCACAAAGGGCTGTGCAGAACAGAACAGCAAATACATTAGAAGTGGAGATGAAGGTATTTCAGTGTGCGGGATACAACAATAGGGGTGGTGGGGGGTATATTTAGAACTTACCCCAAAAGTGAAGTTACCTTTCACCCATTCACACCAGATGCATTGGGACTGCACTGGCCATTTTCTCCAGCACAGCCCCAATGCCAGACAAAGCAATTTATCTGGTCACGGATGGACACCATTCACACCACTGTGTTGCAGTGGTAACGCAGAGGTGTGCGCTTGAAGAAAAGTACAGCATGCAGTCATTTTTTTTCAGCACAGAGGGCCGAGACGCCATACAACCGCCTCGCACTGCGCTGTGCCATTAGAACTGAATGAAATTACACTTGTTACATTTAAATAATCCTCTTAAAAAAAAAAACAAACACACACACACAACACGTGTGATGTGTCGGCATAGGTGTGTCAGCACAGTGCTGGGCAGCGTACACCAACTGCTGTGTGATTTAGCTCTGCTGCTGTTGTCAATGGGCCCTTAAACATCTTTCAGTGCCAAAGATGCATGCACATCAACTGTGGTGACCTTTATATCTAAACCCAAGGGAAAAAAAATATATTGCAGCTTACCAGTCATTAGATGTGTCAATGTCAATTCAGAATGACTTGTACAAAAATTCCCTGGGAATAAATACAGTGAATGTTGCTCCAATCCACATAATATGTTAGTCACAACAAGGTGTTGATTGTATTTGCATAATTGGATTTTGTATTTGCATAATCAATTCAGAATGACTTTTACAAAAATTCTCTCTTCTTATTCCCAGAGAATTTTTGTACAAGTCATTCTGAATTGAGAAAGCTGGTTGGATGACCAGTAAAAAGTCTTCAAGAAAAATACAGCAAGTCCAGTTTCCTTGACTTATTTTTTACAGATATACCATGAGCTGGATGAATGAGAACCTTCACAGATGTAAATGTCATCACCTTTCCACTAACTGCATGCAGGCTATTCAAATATACTGTATAAAGAAGGTTGCCATGTAGTCCCTTAAAGCCGAACATTACATTTGCCTCCACTGGTTCCTCCTTTCCCCTTCATCAACTGTAAGGGTCGTACCCTGGGGGGGGTCCGGTGCGGGCGTCCGTCGCGGTCCTGTGCAGGGACAGCGGGTTCCTCCTGCCCGGGGTCGCTCAGGGCGGGTGATGGCCTCGGGTGGCAGTGCCCGTGGTCGTACTGCGCAGGCGCGGTGTGGATTGCCGGCATCTCTCTCTCCTCCGGGATCTACAGCCTGCGCAGGCGCGCCCTGTAGCTCCGCCCCCTCTAGAGTGAGCGCTCGGCTTAAAGCCGCCGCTCGTCAGTTGATCGGCGTCTCGCTATTGATGTAGCAGGACGCTGATCAACTCAGCGCTCCCTTCGCTCCCCGGGACCTGGACTCTCAAAACCTACCCAACTGGAACGCAAGTACCCTGGGCTATACCTATACCATAGCACCAGATGCTAAAGTTTCTCTCATAGCTACTACGGTTAATACCCATAATTGCTGGTTATATTCACTGCTGTGGCTACTCTCTATTGATTACTTAAACATCCACTTCTGTGAATGCTCATACTTGCTGGTATAAATCTGCTGCTGTGAATACTCATACTTGCTGGTATGAATCTGCTGCTGTGAATGCTCATACTTGCTGGTATAAATCTGCTGCTGTGAATACTCATACTTGCTGGTATATATCTACTGCTGTGAATATTGCGGGCTTAAAACACATCTAGTGCTGTGAAGGCTCGTACCTGCTGGTTATACTCACTGTGTGCATACTCTCCACTGATTGTTGTACCTCCACTGCTGTGAGGACGCCTCACCACTGATTAACATCAAACTGCTGTGTATACTCACCAACGCTGATCATTTGCCCCTGCTGAGGTAGATTACCAGTGCACGGACTCTCTCCTCACTCCAGCTCGACCCCACACTCCGGGGTCACCAAACCCTCACCCCAGCGGGGAAATGATGTGAGGCAGCTCCCTCTCAGCCTCTCCTAAAGACGGGGCAAGTGAGGTGCAGCTGCCACTCTGATACCCGTACCCTAGAACCACAGTTGAGATCCATATAGTCTGTTAGTTCACCCGGACTGAACATTACATCAACATGCTAATTACATTTTTAAATCTTTCAATTTTTTATTACCCACCTTTTTTTAGACCCATCAATGTTATTACCGGGTCTCTGTGCATCACTATGCAATGCGGGCAGGGTACTATACATTGCTTCCAGAAAACATAGCAGAACCCTTCCTCAGTACTCCTCTCAAAGGCCCTAAGCATTGATACAAGCAGTCGGCTGGCTCTTGAGAGTAGGTACGCAAAAAGTATTACAGACGATACTCTGTATTGTTACAAGTGCATTACAATGGCTACAATCACATTGACCATTTTCTTGTGAAAAGTAAAAAAAACACCTTTAAATCTTAAGCTAAAAATTCAATAACAAAAAGATCATATATTTCTAACCTTTGCATGTGGGAAAATCAGAACTCCAAGTCCCATCTGCTGTACAGTGTACTGATGCATTACCCGCAATTTCTAAAGGCTTCCGGCAGGAAAAGCTTACAGAATCCAAATAATTGTACTCGTCCTTTTGTGGTTCAATTGTTATATCACTTAGTACATTTGGTGCTTCACATATTACCACTAGAAGGAAAATAATGTGTTAGAAAATTAATGCACAGGCATTTGATAACGAATCCTCAAGTGACTCACTTAATGTGAATCTCCCTGGGTGTGTATATTATCATTAAAAAGTGTGTTATATGTGGTGGACTGGTGAAAAGTACTAAAACCTTACTATGCAGGATGTTGGCTCCTACACATAACACTGGTCTTCAAATACTGAAATGCTCCAGTCTCATCCCTGCCCCTTCTCACTACTTGTTCATTCACAAAATGTCCTATATTTTTTCAAAGAGTACAATGCATTCTTTAACTGGAGGAGAGCAGGTGATGGTAATGTGACATCATCTCTCCTCCTCCAATCACAGATATACATACAGTACATCAGAACATCTATATATCAAATATGACCCCTACACAATAGATAAAATCAAGTTTAATAGAAGGAAAACTAAATGAAGATAATTAAAAATATAACATGCTACACCAAATTTGAGAGGATATGAAGCGCTTGGATCTCCTATGCCAGTCGACAATACTTTGACCTAGCCCAGCTCACTATTTAATTTGGCTCCCACGGCGAGGGAAGCCCACCCGACCTACGCAAGTCTGTCTGCTCTGCACTTTCCCCCCCTCTCTAATCCCTAAGTTATACTGGTCTTTTCGTACCCCAACCGCCCTCATACGTGACTCCCTGTCCCCTTCCCCCACCCTATTGCCCTCCACACAGTTGCCGATCACTGGTATCAGCCTCCCAGTCACCATTACAAAATAGGTTATAAAACCGGATTACAGTCCTCAGCAAAAACGACCCTCATCGGAAGGTTCCATCTAAATGGTTTGTTAGTACTTAAGCGTACCATGATGAACCACCCGGTTTGTGTATTATGCACATAACCTACTGATCCTTAACCTTAAGAAAATCATTTTACACTTCAGCATTGTGTTCTGTTTATTTGAAAACAATATTTTGTAAAAAGAAAAACAACATGCTTACTGAAAACCTCAAACAAGGGCTGAACAAGACTGACAAGGATCGAACGCTTCATTGTCTAATCCATAGTATTAAAGTTGGCCCTAAACTCTTTACATTTCTCCCATTCAGCCCCGTTGAATGTCGGAAGCTCTGCTGCCGGCTGTTGAATATCTGGACAGTGGTAGCAGCTGACTGGATGCTGGCTGTTCAGACGAAAATTTTCAGACCGACTGCAACAAAAGTTGACCTTTGCAGAGCAGCGGGATGCCAGCAAGGACACCCAAGCCTTGAATTTCAGTCTGTCAGAAATTCGCTTAGTGTATGGCCAGCTTTACTCTGTGGTATGCCCAATAACATTCCATCAAGTGCCAACACCTAATGTAACATCTGCCATGATACTTATGATACATGATGTCAGTCAGTGGCGTAACCAGAGTTATGGGCGACCGGGGCAGAATACAACAACCAGATATTGCCGTTCCCTGGGTGATATGTGTGTGTGTGGGGGGGTGTACAGGGACAATGATGGCATGCTTGGACTTGTAGTTCCTTAGCTGATATATATGTATGGGGGTGGGAGGTACAGTTCCAGTGCATGTTTATATAATATGGGGGGGGGCGAAAAAAAAATTCTGCCCCGGGCGCCCATAACTCTGGTTACGCCACTGGTACCAACACGCATTAGATGAAAGAAATGACCGCACAATGGTTACACAATAATAATTTAATATCCGATTTATTAAGTGAATAAAAGAAAACACTCTTAACCCATAAAGACAATTAAAAGGATTATTACTCCAGAAGAAGTCCATGAGACAGCATCAAGGTGAAATAAGCAAAAGGCTTTTAATTTACCTTAGAAAAAAACATGTTCCCGTGCGTCCTTGTAGAGGCAAAGTTAGAAAAATCCAAAAACTGAACCTAGATAATAGGTGTGCACCTGGTGAAGCTTCTATTGTTGTGGGTAGGCACCGAGACTCAGCATGTCTGGGCATCTTAGGAAATGTACTCATAGCGGCACATCTAGATGCCCACTGCACATCAAGATGGCCTCAAAAGGCTGCAACAATTATATTCTGTGACAAGAGCTACTCTGCTTTTGCTACTGTGTAAATAAAACGTCGCAGGTCTCTTCTCCCTACCTCCTAGTGATGTTATTTAATTGTCTTTACTTCTGCTTCAATAAGGCATTCCAGGCAGCCATGTTTGCTAGTATAGATTTCGGTGCTTGCTGTCGGTACAATGTATTCATACCATACCACTAGAAGTGCATTGTGCACATGGTTAACTTTGTGCTTTTATCTGTAATGTCTGGACTTTTGATCATACTGCTTGTAGGGAACACATGAAAATCCCAAAAAGCTTTTAAACCCCTTTAAACTGATCCTAGTTTGCAGAGAATGAGACAACTGCTTACAATGGTCCAGTCATACCAAAATTAGATTCAAGAAATGTAAAGTATAAATTGTACAGATGTGTGCCCACTAAGGGTAAAAGGGGCAATTGTGGCTGATAGGTTTACCATCACATTGAGGAGCAGCATTGCTCCAAGTTCCATCTGCTTGGCAGTCCCTGTAATTGCGTCTGCTTTGCATACGATACCTAGAAGCAGAGAACAGAAAAGAGAATCATTAATGAAATGTAATAGTAATAAATGTATTACTAAACAATTTTATTTATTTAGTATCAGGATGTAACAGGAAATGGTCACTGCAGCCCTCCTATGTAAAGATTATGGGGTTACCCCTTTGATAAAAGTGGTAAAACATTTTTAGGACCGTCTACATCCAAACATACTTGATTACTCAAAGTCAGGCCCCGTGATCTCATACTTCTGAGCAGCGGAGATCCAAGCTCATAGCCTAATCCTTCTTATAGAATAGTGAGAAACATTTTCTATACAAGTAAAGATCTTCAGGTGCTGAACACATGTCCAAGAAGCAGTTTGTATTTTATATGGCGCAGTACGTAAAATTACTGCTTCAAGAAAATCAGCTACAGGATAAACCACATAAGTAGTATTGTTTTTAGTAAAGATATATTGACAAAGCTGCATCCACAAACATTTACTGAAATAAGAGCTGGAATAGGAGATACTCTACTTCTACCCTGACCATATACTGGTAGATTATAGAACAAACATTCGATATTGCCATCAAAAACGTGTCGTTTAAAACTTCGCTGAATTTTAACATTGATTTTGGAAATAAAAATGGAGTTTCTCGAGCGAAAACCATATTTATGGTTAGAATTTCAATGATTTGATAAACATTTTCAATCCAGCTCCTTCAATTTTTTGTCAATATGGTCAAATTCGAGCATCAATTTGACCCCATTACACTATTATAGAAAAGTATGCTCTGAAAACAAAATGTGTTTTTTTTTTTTTAAAGAAACTTTTGTGTGCTTTAAATGTCTGTTTTGGTAAGGCAGCCAATTCACATTGACTGGGCCCATTATGAACCTTAAAGTGTGTGTAAACCCCAACTTCTCTCATTTGCTCCCTTCCGGTCTGTTAAATATACCATTAAAACGGTTTTATCTGTGACAAAAACAAACCTCAAACATTCAGAGCTGCCCAGTGTGCATGTCCTGTGTTATTTCAAAGAGCCCCATTAGGTTTTAATCTTGGATTACAGAATGATTAGCCTTTATGTGGTAAAGGTCTGAGAGTGCGAGTGGCCGAGCAGCAAAAGACAATTGGGAGGGCTGACAACTCTCAGTCCACAGAAAAAACTGTGTTGTCAACCCACATGACTTTAAGTGAAACTAAACCTTTCTATCCTTCACAGCCGAGGACAGACCCATTTTAGCCTCTATTTAGTTCTGCGGTTGCCACGGTGTTGCACATGTGATCAGCTATGACACCAGCCATTTGAAGGTTTGAAAATTCCATTTAAAGCGGACAGACACACAACTGGCAACTGTTAGAGTCATCATAAAAAGGAATGCCGTGAATATAAGGCTCCGTTCACACATACAGCAGTGACCTGTTTTTTTCCGCACAAAAAAACTACAGCTCACTGCCCTATTCACGTGATGGGCGGTGCGCTGTGGAAATAAACAGAGCTGCTACTTCCCTTCCCCCCCCCCCCCCCCCTGCACTGGATGCCACTGCAGGGCACCGTGCTGCTATGTGGGGACCTAAATGGAATGTACACATTGAGGGAAATCCATCAATATTGGAACAGACAGAATCTGGAGCACTTGTCCATGCAACTAAATAATAAAAAAAAAAAGTAATACAGCAACGTCCAAAACACCGCACATTGCTGGAGCCGTCGCATTTTTGTGGATGAGCAAACCCCATTTTGGGTAACAGTTACAGCTGTAGTTTTAGTTCTACTTGAAGTATATGTAAACCCAAACCATGAACTTCTCTTCTTTTTTTGCTCCCCTTTGGTCTGCTAAATATTGTAGCGCCCTCTAAAATGTCACTATTCAATTTAGAGATACCTGGACTGTAACCAGTCTAGATACTGATTATACAGAGCTCTGCATTCTATAGGTGTCCCTGAATCTGCTGGATTGATTGCTCCTCCTGTTGCTGAGGAAAAGGGAGCCTTGGCATACAGTGAGGGAGGATCCATCCTCAGGTTATGACTATGCACCTGACCCTAGCCAATCCCTGAGTAGGATGACTCAGAGGCATGGTTGAGGGCAGGTAATAAAAGGTCTGGGGACACTGTGCAGAGGTCTCTTCCCCCTAGGGGCCTCGCCCTAGGAGGTCTGTGGAGATGCAGGAAACTGGCCTGGGCCTCAGCACATGGCAGGTGCTGAGGGGCCTAGAGGCCTAGGATACACTTATACTTTGCTGGGCCCATACACGTGGCAGGTGATGGGTGCCTTGTTCTGAGAAGATATTACCACTAAACTGGAGTGCTCATTGGCAGTTGCAGATGCTGAGGGCACAGAGATTCCAGATCCTGAAGAGGAAAATACCTGATGGAAGCTGGGATGGAGGGAGAGTCTGCTTGTTGAAGGGTACCGCAGAGGAGCTGGTGCGAGCGTCCGTCTGGGACCCGCAAGGGAGATCCCTCACCCTATTCCAGGTATCTGTTCGTAGCATTGTTACTACTATTGGTCTCTGGGACCAGATCACAGCGATATCAGCATTAGCAGTTGCAAAGGGAGAAAGCTGTCCTCCGAAGTATTTCCTATGGCATCCTACAGATCCTAAACCCTCTCTCTCCTTTTGAAACTTGCAAATAAATATCCCAAAAGAACCCTAAGACTCGAGCCATTCTGTCCATGAGTGTCCGTGTGCTGTTGCTGATCAAAAGGGACCGGTAGCTGGAACAAACAGGTAGGAGAACCTATTTCATACTGAGCGGCTCCTTCGGGGGTAAACGCTACAATATGAAAATATTTTAATGTATCTTATCTGTTTCATAAGTTCAATAAGTTAAACCCAATCACATTAATGTGGGTGATAACGGGTGTGCTAATAGGGCCTTCGCAAGGCTATAAACAAAAGAGTGCAGCTCCGGCAAGGCTGTGTATCTGGGGTATTCAGATCATCTCATAATTGTGCTTAGGAGGGCTAGAGAGGGTGGTATAGTGGAGGGGTGTGGGAAAAAAAAAAAAAGAAGCTACTTGTCCATGGGCTAAAGCGGGGGCCGAATCTACTTGTCCCTCATGACAATCTACTTGTCCCAACACAAAAAAATTAGGGATGCACGAATACCGGTTTTTCGCTATCGAGTACCGATATTTTGCTTTCAGTACTCGCCAATACAGAGTACCGATATCAGTGCTTCCGCTGGCATGGAGCTGGCTTCCCGGGCAATCAGGAAGCTAGACAGTGGCTTGATTGTGATTGCCTGGGAAGCCGGTCTCCCGGCCAATCAGTAAGGAGCTGGCTTTCCGGCCAATCAGGAACCTGGGAGGCGGTTATTACTTGCTGCCTGGCTTCCCGATTGCACGGGAAGCTGGCTCCATGTTCCCCTGCGGCATTGCCGGTCAGAGGAAATCTTCCTCTGAACGGAAGCTCGGGTATCGGGGAAGGTATCGGAGCATTTGGGTGAGTACAAGTACTCGCCCAAATACTCTATCGGTGCATCATAATCAAAACCGTATTTGACTGTGCTAAATAGCATTGCTCATTGGTCAGCGTGGTGACCTGACCACGCTGACCAGTGAGTGCTTGCAATTTGGAAGCGAAATTCAAAATGCATAGGGCAGGACTGCTCTGGACAGCAGTACGGGGTACAGATAGTACACCCGTACTGGCGGAGGGCAAGGACTGTTCAAAGATGCTCTGTGCAGTTCCCGACAGCGCTCCAGCCTCAGTGATCACACAGGGGTGGGCGGGGGAGTACAATATCGCTGCTCATTTGATAGAAGTGATCTGATCAGATCACTTGTATAAAACGTGCAGCAGCTCCCCGCTGTACATTAGCTCTGCTTGCTTGAAGCAGGGCTAAATGTACAAAAAAAAATACATTCTTTAATTTTGTCATGATAGCTTATCCATTCAAAATACTAAATGCTTTATCCAAAATCAACAAATTGTTTCTTGAATTGCATAATAAACATGACTCTGTTTTGAAAGCCAGCGGTGTCCTTTGTGATAGTTATGCTTGACTAGAATTTAAAAAAAAATAAATAAAATCCAGACAAAATCTGTCCTTGCATTGCGGAGGTAGCCGGGTAATTATTTTCTTCTTTAACCTCCAGCACCACCAGAAGATCAGCGCTGTGGGGAGCATCCAATGTCTGCTCTCTGTATTGGGTATTCCACAGTCAATGTCTCTGGAACCACTTCAAGTAGTTGCATTTTTAATAGCAGTTAATATTGTGATGCAGACATTAGTGTACCTGTAAAACTGGTCATAAAAGAAATGTATAACTAAAGCAAAGAAACTATTGTATGCATAAAGCCTGCTGAAAAAGTGCTTTGCGTTTCAAAACGAAAATGCCAAAAAAAAACCCAAACGGTAAGACTCACCCTGCATTACATGTATAGGTCACTCTGGATCCAAAAAGCATGTCAGCAGTCTCCATTTCTCCATTTTCTATTTCTCCTGGGTTACCACATGATCTGCCTGCCAGTAAAATATAGCAATTCAGACACTACTGCAAATGTAAGAACCAATAAATATTGCAAATCACAAGAGTACTTGTTCGCTTTCCATACCATTATTTCTACAAAGAAGCAAAGCAAAAGGAAATATGCTTACGCTGGCAGAATGGGTCAGGAGTAGACCATGTATAGTTCTCTAGGCAGGTTATTAACCTCATCAAGCCAGGAATTCGTACAAAGCCAGGCCTACAGTTATAGGTCACTGTTACATTAGGAAGATATATATTCCGATTAAGAGCATCATCTGTAGGCAACGCTTCCGAAAATCGAGGCAGGACACCACAACCTCCTAAAACACAGGACAAATAGATATAATTGGGGACAGTACTTATAAGGCTTGTTTAAGTATTCCAGTCATTACATAGTCAAAAAATAAAAACATGCTTTATGACGGGAGTTCTATCCTTTTTCTTCATCTTGTTTTTAATGTCATTTTTGCCAGCTTTCCTTTACTTGTCTTAACAATTACAATTTGCATTTCATGATTTGTGAGATTTACAAATCTTAGATTTACAACAAAAAGGGAACCACCTTGATAACATTCCAGTCGATCCTAGATTTAAAACTAGATCCCTTATTTGAATTAGGCATGATCTGTCCAAAAAGAACCTCTTAATTATCCATTTAAACAGATACATTCCAAAGTTGGTAGCGCCATCGTTTTGCTCACACAGTGAGGCCGATTTACTGGAGGAGAATTTTTACACAATAAAATGTGTAAAGATTCACTTCTAATTAATCATGTGAAATGCAAATCCATGTTTGCCTATTCTGCACAACCGACTAAAGTAAATCATTTTAATTTTTGGTGTGAACATTCTTCAATCCTTTAGGGCCCATTCACACCATGATTCAGACCTGAACGTTTTTGTTGTTGTCTGGAAGCCCATTCATTCCTATGGTAAACACAGTGAGGCTAGTTCACACCATTGCGTTCAGTTCCAGAATGTTAAGAAAAATGCATGCACTATTTTATTTGGTCTGGAACACACCAAAATGCATGTATACGCACTGGAACACTTTAGAAAATCAATTTAGACAAGAAAATGCACTGGAATGCCTTAACAATGCACATGACATTTGCAGAAACTCATCCAGATTGGGTCTGGACATGGTGTGAATGGGCCCTAAGTAAATCAGCCTCACTGTATGCATAAGTATAACATATAGCGGTCCTATTCTTCCTCTGACCGGAAGTTCCGGTATCGGGGGTAAATATTGGAGCATTTGGAAAAGTATGAGTACTTGCCCAAATACTTGGTACGGCAACGATACTAGTATCAGTATTTTCCTAATCTAAACCATACCCACAGTGCACCTATATGTGTTCTCGTTCAGCTTTGCAGCTTCTTGTGTTGACACTTGACTTCAAGCCTGCTCATTTGACAATATTACAGCATCATTACATAGTGACAAATACAAGTTTATTATTATGCTTTTTAAAACAAAAACAAAAAAAAATACACATCAAAAACGAGTCAAGGATAACACTTACTTGTGCAGAATTCTTCAATAACTGTCCAAGTGCCATCAGCTTGACAGGTAATGGTTGTACTTTTGCCAGGAATTTCATAATAACCAGTACTACGATCACATGTGTAAACAATTTCTTGTCCTGTGGTTCCAGATGTCTCAGCAACTGGGCTTGTGTTTGGTATATTTGGAGGGGATGGACAATCACCTACAAATAATGGCAGAATTTGAGAAAAATGTTGAAGAGACAAAAGAATTGGATGAACAAACTGTCATTCAAAGGTTTCATAATTTAGAGAATAACCGACACTCAATAAAAGATTGCATGTACTGTTTAACATGGCAGGTGATGAGGGACCATATCCCTTTCCATCCCTTCCTCCTTGTCATGTCATATAGATGTGTTACATGTTCCCATTTACACAGCATAACCGAAAAAAAAAAAAAATACTTTAAAAAATGATCGCTTACCTTTCAAGATGCGCTTTTCCGGAAAATCCAGGACTTCAAAATCCTGAATGTCGGAGTGCTAAACTGCAAGTCCTGAACACGTTCACATTATGGCATGGGGAGCACTGCATAATGTTTCAGTTTTAAAAAGTCAAAAGTTGAATATGCATTTCAGGAGGCCCTGGCAGTGGATCAGGCAGCTCCCATTACCGTATCAACATAAGTCTCATCATGGGCTATTTTAAGAGCAATATACACATTTTTAAAGAATACCATTTTCTAAAGCAAAATATTTTCTTCATATTCCAAGATTTTTTTAAAGCAAGATATTTTCTCAAAGACACAAAAGTCACATACTTCTGGGAACTTGAAGTAAACCTGTGTTGACTAAGAGTCCATTCCCACTTCTGCGTACGTTGCGTGAGTTTTTCTGTATGGAGTCGTATTGCATTAAGGCAGCCTATTTATTTCGAATGGGCCATCAACATACCTCAATATATGAAGAAAAAAAATATATATACACTGGCACTATTTTCGCCAATGCCGCCCACCATAATACACAAAATATTCACATCTGTGTATTGTGGTGCACTATAACGCAGGTGCATTTTCATTCACTGCATATGTGACTTAGGGGGCCATTCAAAATGAATGTTGGTGGCCCACAATGCACATATACAGTCTGAGCATGACGCAGGGATGACATTCGGGGGCTAATAAACCACTGATGTCTCCTTAAAAAAGACAACCTGTCACCTCCACTATGGTGTCCCACGTGGGGCTTATTCGCAACCTTGTAATCGAAATAAATGTTTAAAAAAAAGTTTAAATAAAAACAGCCCCCAAACACCCCCCCCCCACACTATATACATACAAAAGAATGTTGGGTGCGTCACACATTAGTTATTGTCGCACATGCCAGTGTGAGAGCATTCATTCTAGGGACATGGTTTACCTTCAACTCTGATGACCTGTAAAAGCTTTAGGGCCCATTCACACCACATCATCTCCAGACCAGACCGTTACCGGACCCAAAATGCACCCGAATGTATCCCTATGCTATTTCTGGCCTCTGTTCACACCAGCGCAGTCCGTTCCAGACCAGAAAAAAACTGCATGTCTCATTTTGTCTGGTCTGGAATGCACTGAACTGCGGGCATGTTCACACTATTTTCCGGATCAGATCTGGTCCAGAAAATGGTGCGAACCAGCCCTTAAAGTGTCATTCATTAATGCACAGTCTTGGATATCTTCATTTATCCCTAATGCACTCTCAAATTTGGGGCTCCAAATATTTGGTTCACTTCACGCAACCTCATCTTTTATATAGGTTTCTAAAAATAGGGTATTATTTTGCTTGCACTAAAACTAATTTGAGTGTATTTTTTACTAAAAATATGCAGTTGTAATAAATAGCAGCACAAATAACCTAAGACATAAAAAAAATACAATTACCACCATTTTATTCTTCATGGTCTCTGCTTTCAAAAAATAGATAATGTTTTAAAGGTGTCAAGTGCACTTTAAAAAAGGAGAATTATGAGGTGAGTGATTTTCACTCAGCCTCATAATCTGAGCCGACCTGTGACAATGAAACTGTCACAGGTCGGCTCAATAGATCGGGAAGTGAGTGAACACATACCGGCGCTCACACACTTCTCAATCTATCCCTGCAGAGAGCCGTGACTGTCACTCACAGCTCCCTGCAGGGATTCCCCCTCCCCCCCTCTAAAAATTCCTCCAGCGCTGACTGGCGGAACGGATGGGGGAGGGGGCGGGTACAGCTGGCTATGCCTCTAGATAGGCAGAGCCAGCTGTCACTCATGCAGCAGGGTGGTTGCAGACAGAATTGTCGGGATCTGTTCCGGCTGCGGCGTCTCAGTATACCGCGAGCTGTAGCTTGCGGTATACTGAGCTTTGAGTGACGGGAAGACGCTAGTTTGTGTCCTCCCTTTACCCTTAGGAGAACTATAGGGAAAAGCCCTAAGGTCCGGTTCACACCTGGGCGTTTTGTAGCTCGTTCCTACGCTCTGCAAAACCCTCAAACACCGAAATCCCATTATTTCCTATGGTTATGGTTCACACCTGGGCGTATTACAGGCCGTATGAACGCGCTACAAAACGCCCTACGCCCAAAGTATGTACTTTGGGGCGTTTTTGTCGCGCGTATCCATTGGGCTACAGCCAGGTAGCCCTCGGAAACGAGCGTTTGTCGCACGTTCTTTACCACGAATCGCGCGCAAACGTGCATATTCGATACGCCTAGGTGTGAACCCAGGCTAACAAAAGCCCTAGCCCCATAGTTCTCCTTTAACCACTTCAAGACCAGGTGTTTAGACCCCCTTCCTGGCCAGGCCATTTTTCAGTATTCAGCGCTGCGGTATTTTGGCTGACGTTTATTCCGTCATGCAACGCTGTACTGAAATGAATTTTATACCATTTTTTGGGGACAGATAGAGCTTTCTTTTGCTGGTATTTAAATCACCACCACTGGGGGTTTTATTTTTTACTATATTTATGAAAAATTACTGAAAATTTTGAAAAAAAAAGTTTTTTTACATTATGTTAGGAAACATTTATTATTACCCAGTTTTTTGGTAAATAAAAAAAAGTTGAGGTGACGTCGGGTACATAGACACCAAACATGTCAAGCTTTAAGGTTAGTTTTAAGGTTTAGTGTTATCAGTGATTGATGGCCCTAGAATTATTACTCATTTCAGCATTCTGACAGCAGAGGGGGGACCAGAGGGAGCTCGTGTAACGCTCTCCCTCTGATCCCCTGTGACACAGGCGCCATGCTGATCCCGGGCTCGCAGCGGGCACAGCAGAGCCCGGGATCAGTGGGACAACGGCGGGGGGCGGCAGGGTGCACCGATCGTTACCCATACAAGCGATCCGCCGGCTGTACACTTGTATGTTAACAGGCATCGCTGCCTGTTTTAAAATTTCGGCCATTTCCTGCCCAGCGGCGCGAGCGAGGGGGCGTGTCTGAGCGGGCGTCTTTAGAGAGCTCCTTATTTTTTAATACGGCCGGCCCGGAGGTAGTTAATGTTAAAAATACAAAATGCATTTTGGTGTCTGCAAAATGGAAAAATAGTTCTGGCAGGGAAAGGGAATGTGAAAACATTAATATTTTGTTAGGAACCAGAGCACCTGCTGCTGGCACTGAGGTCCTCAGAATTAAAGCATGTAGTACCATTGTCCACTGGCAGGTGTCTCCCAGCAGCCAGCAGTTCCCAGCAATTAATCTCCACCCGATTCTAGGACAGTATTTAGCCCTCCTCAGAAATCCATCAGTAAATATCATCTGCTTGTCTCCCCAATCTTGTTTTCTGTTAATCTGCTGATCATGCTCCTCATATCCGTGCCTGGCCCTGCTGTATCCGATTCCCTCCTATCCCTTGATTGTATATAGTTAGATATGCTGTAACATAAACTGATAAGAGGCATGGAGGAGCTCAGCTATGAGGAAAGATTAGCTGACCTGAATCTGTTCTCTCTAGAGAAGAGGCGACTAAGGGGGGACATGATCACCATGTATAAATACATAAATGGTCCATATAAAGAGCTTGGTGCCAAATTATTCACTTTAAGGTCACTGCAAAGGACAAGGGGGCACTCTTTGCGTCTGGGGGAAAAGAGGTTTAACCTTTGCATACGGAAAGGATTTTTCACATTTAGAGCTGTGAAAATGTGGAATAGACTCCCCCAAGAGCTAGTCCTAGGTAGCTCAGTTAACTGTTTAAAACAACACCTGGATGTATTCCTAAATGCACAGAATATGGCTGGATATTGAGTTATTTTAGGTATGTTAGGCATCAGAGATTGTTGATCCAGGGAATATGTGATTGCCTTATGGGATCAGGAAGGATTTTTTTTCCCCGTTTGAGCAAATTGAACCATGCTTTATAAGGGGTTTTTTTTTGCCTTTCTCTGATCAGTGGGAAATTGTGGGCATAGCGTTACATAGTTACATAGTATTTGAGGTTGAATAAAAGACATTAGTCCATCAAGTCCAACCTATTAGGATCTCATTCTAGGAGTACCTGTACCCCTGTATATTACGGTCCCTTAAGAAATCGTCCAAAAGTTTCTTGAACAATTCCACATTATTTGCTGAAATCACTGCCTGTGGCAGTGAGTTCCAGACCCTAACTGATCTTACTGTGAAGAACCCCCTTCGCCCCTTGTGCTGGAATTTTTTTTCAGGCGCGTTCTGTTTTGGATTTTTTGGGGGGAATTGGCAATTACGTGGCCACGTTTTTGAAGGCAGAACGCTTTGTGCGAGGGCTGAATAGAGGGGAATGTAATATCCTCATCAGTGGCAAGTGGGGAGATATCAGGGCACCAGAGATTTTGACAATGTCCTATATGTTCAGGGAGTGGCGTAATGTCAGATCCTAAATGTGGGAGCAGAAAATAAATTATAAATATGAACAGGAGAACTTCTATAAACATTCAAGAAAGTCCACCAGGGGAGTTCCTAGGTGGTATGAAGTGAAACCAGGGGAGCCATTTGCAATGCAGTATAATATTTGAGTAAGTTAGGTATGCCCAAGCCACTTTGTTGTAAGATATAGCAGTCACTATTCATGGCCTCACCATACCCCAAACAAACATTAGAAGCTTGGCTTGGCATTGCAATAAGAAAAAGGGAATCAAGTGCTACAAAAGGTTTGGCAACTAGAACATATGGCATGAATACTGCCAAGCCAAGAGATGGGCAAATGTCTTCACATATCTAGCAAGTGGGACAGCTCTCTGAAGAGGGTTGGGTAGTTTGGTCCATAAAAAGAAGGTGCTCCCAAGCAAGGAAGTTTAGAGATCCACATGAACTGGTATATTGAACCATGTAAAGGGTCTGAGGGTCCAGGGATATACTTTGAACTTTCAGTTTTGTTCCTTTAAATGTCCAATATTTCCACAAACGCAGGGACACAGGAAAATAAATTGGGCAGAGATGTATGCAGTAAGGAATGAAGCAAAATGTTATCTACTAAAAGCATTAGCAACTCTGTCAATTCCTTTTTTTAATCAGGGTTCAATCTGATTGTAATCACAATAGGTTTTCAGGCAAGAATAAACAGTATGGTGAAGAGGGAGCAACCTAGTTCCCCAATAGATCTCAAAAGAGCCAGAGAGAAAACCACTATAACGGATATTTACTTGGATATTTTACTGGGATACGAATATAAAATCAGAGACCCTCCCGGAGGAAATGTTCTTAGAATCCCCACTTTAAATTTTTGTACTTTTAAGTATAGCCATGAGAGCAT